CACATCAGGGTGGGATTCAGATTGAACATTATCTAGCTTTATATTGATTTTTTTGGTTATAAATTGACATTAAGGGTATAGAATTGGCCTAATTGATTACTTAAATCTTTACAGCAAATTTAACTAATTCATCCATTATAACATCAATAACATCACTTGCATTGTGATTTAGACCTCAAATTAATGTTTCAAGCTTTAATAATGGTATGCCGGCTCTGTAAAATGCATTTACTGACCATCGGCCTATGGCCCTCCACTTCAAATATGTTTCAAGATGTGGCCCTCCTTGAAAAAGGTTTGGATGCCCCTGGTATAGACAGCGGATATATCGGCCAACCAGTATATTAGGCCAATATTTGTGTATCAGGTATCAGCCTTAAATTATACATATATAGACAACAGGCCGATCTTCTGTTTTGGCCTACCTGCTGTGTAAAGAGTACACACAAAGCTTTATTTGAGCACTTTGAACACATATTGTGCTTGAGCTTGTTATATAGTTAAAATAATTATCATTATGTTATTATTTACACATTTTAAATCGCCATAGTCATCTAAATCGACTTAGTTAAAGAAATAGTCTGCAGACTACTGCTTTAGAAAGATGCAGTGCCCAGTGGGAATTGACATCGCCTTAAACAGCATCATGAAGGGAGCTGGTGTTACAGATTTGTTGGGGCCAACATGTAAATGGCTCATACCACGCAATATATGACTACACGGCCCTCTTATAGGTTTGTGGTGAACAAGGGCTGTGGTTGTATGTGTAGTAAATCTAAACTGAATAACAATTTGGGAAAAATAATCCAAATTGTCACAACATATGGGGCTAAAAATATTGCCAGAGTTGACTGGCCACTGGCTGCTCTAGAATCGGTATTGGCATGAAAAAGCCATATTGATCTCTAAGAAAGAGGAAACTGTTCTATTTCTATGCCATCTGTTTCAGCCTTGCTATTTCTGTGAATAAGAATAATTAAATAAGAGGCTGTAAGGATTGTAAAGTTATTAGCCAACACAAAAAGAAATGACTCAAAACAGCAGTGACAAAATGTATGCTTGATTTTACTTACTATTCTTTGAGGCATGTCTTTTACAATCTACTCCATATTAACTATAGAAACTAAATAAAAATCAGTTACCATCTTTGAAATCATTAAAAAATACTTTATACAGACAACTTGATTAAGCTCTTGACATGCGTGTCTTCTTCTGTACTGACAAACCTCCATGAATAGACACTGTATTTTCTGTGCATTTCAGCGTGGGGTGTTAACGCTGCCTCTCCTCGCCAATGTTGCTTTGAGTTCAGCACAAAGAAGATCGAACCAACTCAGATCCTGTCCATTGTTAAGACCAGCAGCAAGTGCTCTAAGCCAGGATACATGTACGTATTTAAGATTCGTAACTCTCTTATCATTTCCAGTTTATGATAACAGTTTTCTCATAACCATTTTTGTACTGTTTTGCAGAGTGACCACCAAAAACAAGGCAAAGGTCTGTGTTGACCTGAACGATATCGATGACTTGGTGTTAAACCCAAATTAGTACAATGAAGTATCTGCCTGAAAACTTTTAAAATTCTATTAACTTTATTCATTCTTTATGAGTATTCACTTTTTGAATTGTGAAGCATAATGGAAGTGTATAGCTTTCGTTTTTAGAAATATGTAGGCCTAACTCTTTTTTACGATAAATGTTCTTTTTTTTATACCCATCTTCTACCTGACCTAAACTGACACAAAAAATAAATGCTTTTTTGATCTTGTATGGGGAATTGCATTAAATGTTTGGTTGGCACACACATTTCTGAAGGATTATTAGAAGACCCCCAACACAGTACACACATAAAATACTTTAAACACTGATGTAACATTGTCAAATTTAATATTAAACATTTAGAGTTTAAGACTGATACACATAAAACAAAGACGAAAAGCTATGTACAAAAATAAATAAATAAATAAAAAAAATAAATCTCACATCATTAAAATGCATTTCAACACATAGATGTAGACAAACATTATTGATCCACCAGGGAAATTATTTGGAGACAGAAGCTCACACATCACAATGTATTATAATAACAAAGAGCAAGAATAGCAAGAATATAAATGGTAATAATACATTTTAAATAAACAGCAAAAATAGCAAGAGACTGGTGTCAAATAAAGCATAATTATATATTACTAAAGGTATATGTACAAGTAAAAATAAAATATACAAATATAGTAATACAAATATATCTCAGCTACACACAAGAGGTCATAAGGAGAAACAGTGCAAAGATAAAATAGTGATTGACATGATATAGGTTTATCTGTTATATAAGGGTGAGTTGTTGTACAGTTGTAGGGAGTATTATCTGTTACATAAGGGTGAGTTGATGTACAGTTGTAGGGAGTATTATCTGTTACATAAGGGTGAGTTGTTGTACATCTGTATGGAGTGTGGTATAAATGTAGTCCTGTATCTCTCACTATGGAGCTGTAGGAGCCTGTTGAAGAATGAGTTCCTCTGTCCCTCTATCGTCCGGTGCAGTGGGTGAGCAGGAGTGTCCATGACGGAGAGCAGTTTGCCCAGTGTCCTCCTGTCCCTCATGGTGACAAATTACTCTACGTAGGTCACAGTCGATCACATGACCAGCTTTACGGATCAGTTTTTTGATCTGTCCAATGTCGCTTTTACTGGTGCTGCTCCCCCAGCAGAACACAGCAAAGTACAAGGCGCTGGCCACCACAGACTGGTAGAAGATCTCCAGTAACCTGCTGCATATGTTGAAAGACTTGAGCTTTCTCAGGAAGTAGAGTCTACTCCTGCCCTTCTTGTACACGGCATTACAGTTGTCCCTCCAGTCCAGCCTGTTGTTCACATGGACGCAAAGGTACTTGTAGCAGTCCACTATTTCCATGTCATGGCCTTGGAAGGTGATGGGCTCCACTGGTGTCCTCTTCCTCCTGAAGTCAATCACCAGTTCCTTCACCTTATCAGTGCTCAGGAGCAGATGGTTTGACTGGGACCACTCCACAAAGTGTCCTGTAACCAGTGTCCTGTGCTCCTGCTCCTGTCCATCTCTGATACACCCAAGACCCTGTCCAGACCCTGTCCCAGCTCCTGTCCATCTCACCCTACCACAGGTAGGCCACCAGAGAACTTCTGCGGGTGGCAAGACCTGGAGCTGTACTGGAAATCAGAAGTGTACAGGGGTGGCAGTAGCTCAGTTGACAAGAGTGTTTGTCCACTGATCTGCTGAAGGTTGGTGGTTAGAATCCCGCTCTTGACATAAATATCATTGGTTGAGCTGTCAGATTCACTGACCCACATAAATGTGTGTGTGAGTTGTTGTAAAGCGCTTTGAGTGCCTTGAAGGTGGAAAAGTACTATATAACAATCTCATTGTTTCTGTGAGCACAGAAACAAATGTACAGCAAACCACAGAGCTGATAAGATCTCGTACAAAATTTCTAACTGGGGCAGGCTCAGCAGTCATTCAAATAAAAATTTTCCAATGTACTAAACATAAAATCTCTTGTATTAATTCAATAAAGAATGATTTTCCATGAAAAAATATAAAAGTCAAACTCTCAACCCATTTTGCATTTGCATATTAATATAAAAGGGATTATAATTTATATCCTTGTGAAAAGTTCATTCAAAGCAAAATCCCACTGAAATCATCATATACACACAAAATTAATGAGGAGTAAAAATCTGGTCCACATCATTATTTGGCAATGGCATCATTTATAATTAAAATGTTGGTTACATAGGTTACAGTTATGGCTTAGGTTTATGTTAGTTAAGCTGTGAGTCAATGTCTCCAAAGAGGCTGGAAACATGACATGTGAGGACACAAGTGGGAGGGGGGAGCCGCCCACGGTCCATAGAAGGTTAGAACTCTATATCAGACCCAGAAGGAGGTCATTATTGAACCTGCAGATCACAGTGAAGTTTTTTGCCGTCAGACCTTGTCCCATCACCATGAAGACTGTGTGGCTCCTCACAGGACTCCTGCTCACTGCACTGGGCTGCTCTTGCATGCGTATGTATACACACATCAGGGTGGGATTCAGATTGAACATTATCTAGCTTTATATTGATCTTTTTGGTTTATTGTTTGAACTATTGTTTTAAATCGATATTGAGAGTATCGATAGCTCGTTATATCGGCTGGCCTTTATATCAGATATTTGCCCTCTTTAGTGCATCGGCTATTGGCCTTAGATCTCCAGTAGACTGATCTTGTGTTTTGGCCGAACTGCCGCTTAAAGAGTGCACACAAAGGTTTATTTGAACACTTTTATGTTAAGAGATAACTGCACAAAACACGACTCTTATAGAACTGGGGTTACATAAGAAAAAAACGAAGAAGAAAAAGAAGAAGAAGAAGAAAAAAATAATCAAAATCGGCCCTACACATCGGGTTAAAAATATCGTTAGAGCTGATTGGCTCTAGAAAGAAAAGAAAAGCTTGGTTATTTGAAAAAGAATAGGCTAACTGAGGTTGTAAAGGTTAAGTTATTGAGCAGCAAACTGCAAAAATGTATGCTTGATTTTACCTTCTTTTCTTGGCTTGTCTTTTTCTGTTTACTCCAAATGAACTGTGCAATTAATTGCACTCACTGAGATCATTAAAATTATTTTATAGACAACTTGATTAACTGGGGTTGATGGCATGCAATGTTTTCCTCTGAAAAAAGCTCCGTTAGTGCGCGAACAGTGACTGGTGCGCTGATCTACTCCGCGCCTCTGAAACCCTTAAACCGGCCGCTTTTTATAACAAATACTGTTGTATTTATTTTCACACTCTATCTTTGTGCCTTGATATTACAGTGGGTCTATGGCACAGCGTAGTATGTTGTATCTAGTTTAGTGTCCGTTTCCATCTATGTTCATGTATCTACATATGTCCTGTGCGTTTCAGCGTGGGGGGTTAACGCAGCCTCTCCCCGTCAATGCTGCTTTGCCTTCAGCACAAAGAAGATTGACCCAAGTCTGATCCTGTCTGTGGATAGGACCAGCAGCAGTTGCTCCAAGAGGGGATATATGTATGTATGCATTTATGCTTACTTCTTATTAAGGTGTGAATCTTTTATCATAACCATTTTTGTATCGTTTTACAGAGTGACCACCCCAAACGGAAAGGTCTGTGTTGACCTGAGCCAGACATGGGTGCCGAAGCTAAATTAGTACAATCTGCCTCACAAATTTTTAAATTCTATTAACTTTATTCATTCTTTATGTGTCTTCATTTTTTGTACTGTGGTGCATAATGGAAGTGTATAGCTTTAATTTTTAGAAATTTGTAGGCCTATTCTTTTTTATTATAAATGTTCTTTGTTTATACCTTACCCATCTTGAACTAAAATTGTAATGATACAAAAAATTAATAAATAAATAATTAAAAATGCTTTTTTGGTTTTGTGTGGGGAATTACATTTGGAAAATATAATGATCAGCACACAGATACTTAAAAACACAACACAGTACACACATAAAATAAACTATACACTGACGGTTAATGCATAACATTGTCAACTTTAATATTAAACATGTACATTTTAAGACAGATAAACATAAAATAAAGAAGAAAAGCTGTGTACATATAAAAAAAAAGAATATTACAAAAATGCACCTAAACACATGTTATTAGCTGAAACTATTTGAAGGGGAGTGGTTCACAAGCAACAAACAATATTTCAGTATCTGTCAACCTTTAGGGAAGCTCTAATGGATTGGACCTGAGAATGTGCATCCAGCGGCAACAGTGAAGATGCCATTTTAAAATTATGCTTTTCTATACGGTGTAAAGGATTGTTAACAATAAAATACTCTTAAATGAAAGGCCACTGAGCCCAAAAGTAAGTGTACACGTCAGGCATATTTCAGTTCAAGCTTCAGGCATGGTGTATGTCTATTCCAATGAACTCAAGGTAACATAGTCGAAAATACAAAACCCATGCCTGTAGCTTCTTCCCTTTAGCTTAAAATGCACCGTGACAGAGCCTTGTCAAAAATAACACTCATATATGTTAATTTTTAGAAAACTACAAGGGAACCAAATATAGAATGTATATCATCGTTATCATTACATATGAAAATAAAACATATGACATAAGCTATATTAAAATGCATGTTGATGTGCTGCTTTCTGAATAGACCACACAAAAGCATATTTGACCTCTCTCTTGATTTAAGTAATATGGAATCCCTTTTTGGTCATATAAAATGTCTACCAAAACACACTCCAAAACTTAACTGTAGTGTGTAACATAACAGTTTGGACATGTTCAAAGCACTTCAAAAGCGAAAATATGCCCCCATGTGGTTTAAGTGGATCTCCATTTTCTGTTACTTGTGACATAAAATAGATCATAAGGTTATTGGTATAAAACATTACAACAAATACAGTATAAAGGAGTTTAAAATTGGGAGTTAAAATAGAGCATAAAAGTTTCCAAATGAGAGGGAAAGTCCAGGAGTGGTTTAGGTACTGGCTAGAACAACACCCATGACTTCCATCACAATATTAACACTGTTACTGAACCCTGCTGTTTTAAACACACTGGTTTGCATAATAGCATCTACTCAGAGGAAACACACACAAGGCAATGACTGTAGTGGCTGTAGTATTTTCCTGAGTGTAAAAACAGGCAAACAGACCCTGCTCCAACCACCTCCACAAACGGACGCACAGTGCTCCAGATTAGACCATTTGTTCATTGGTTTGAACATTTTCCACCGCATTCAAGAAATTTTTACATTTACATTTTAGAGAAATGTAAAAGGTAGGCTCAGATCCGGTGAGTATTCTTGGTCTCATTTTTCTAAATATAAAAGTTTGTTGTTAACCGACTACATTTATAGACCTCGCTGTTCAAACTGTATTCAAGCTCTGCCTTAAATACTGGTCAGTTTAAGAATAACATCACAGCTTTAACATACAAACCTGCTTTACCAACTTACTTATTCATTCTCAGGGGTCCTTTAAGATGAGATCAACAAAAGAAAATGAGGATAGTATCAGCTGTATTATTGTACATGTGACATAACAGCTCTAGCACAGTCAGTGCCCTGTGTGTTCAAATGTAATTCAGAGGCAATATCCTCTTTGTCATAAAGTATAGAAAAAAAAGTTTGTTTTTTTCACAAACACATGCATTCCTCATAAAAGCAACGTCTTACAGTAACAGAGTGTATGGCGTCCAGTATAAGACAGGAGGAATGTTATGACAAGTGCCAGCGTCATTGTTTTCAGACGGCCACAGAAGAGGTGAACTTTGAGGAGGTCGAGAACAAATGAGTTTGTAGAAAACAAAAAAAAGCAGGATTTAGAAGATCTTGCCCTTCTTCTTGTTCTTTTCCATTGTTCTGTAGAAAAGGACATGTAATGGTCAATTTTTCTATATTTTAAAATGAAAACATGACACTGTAGTTATAGTTAGACCATAGACTATAAAGAAGCGGACTAAGCAAGTGTTCGGCTCCACTCAAATGAAACTCATGATGCTAGTGCTTACAGGAGCGAATTTGGACCCAGGTTCTATAATATAATGTTTTTTTAATGGACAAAATTACAAAAAATAAACACCGGGATTATGTAGAGTGGGTTAATATGAACATTTTAAGACCAAAATTACTAGGCTCACTGCAGCAGTTACAGAGAGGGGCCACAATATTACAATGGAAATCCATAATAAACGATAATATTGAAACTACTTTATGCCACTGACACAAAGCAGGATAATCTCAGTACACCAGTTTTTAAATATAGTGCAACATTAAAAGGCATGAGTGCAAAAAATAAATAACAGAATTAATCAATAATTTGCCATAGAAGTTATTTATTCAACCCAGCTCAATTCTTATTGTATTACATAAAAACAGCTAAAAACTCCCCACTATTCCAAGTAAATTGTACACATGATAAATATTGAGCCCCAAAATATATTGCTCCAGCTTTCACATACTGAACAGTAAAAATATTTTAATTATCGTGACAGGATTCCTTGTAGAATGTAGTACTGATCAGTTTGTTACTTACTTGGAGGCGTCTAGTTTCTGCTGCTCCAGGATCTTCTGCTGAGCCTCCCAGTTGGTCTTCTCCTCCTCAAACACTCGTCTCTTCTCCTCCAGCTCTTTGTACTGCGCCTCCAGGTTCCTCTTCATCTGCTCATGGCGCCGCTCCAGCTGTGACCAAGAGATGTATTTTAACTCTTAATGCTTTAAAGGTCCTATATGGTCCTATAGGTCCAATTCCAGGGCTGAAATCATCACAATGATTCTAGTGAACGTGTATAGAGTTTAAAAACACAGTGGAGTGTTTCTGTATTTCCACCCTGACATCACAAGGAGGAACAGTGTTTTCTCTTTTGAGAGAAGAACTCAGTCTAAATATGCAGGATGTGTGTGTTAACCATGTGTGAATGAAAAAAAACCCACTACTCCAGACAAGTTTGTGATAAGGAAACAACATTTTAACATAGAAAAGAAAGCAGCATAATATTCAGTCTGATGCTTTTAGATGAGAACACTCCAGTTTCTACCTCAGCCTCAGAGTCCTTCAGTTTCTGCTTCTTCTCCTTGACCTTCATCTCAAAGACCTGCTCCATCTCAGCCTCCATCTTCTTCATCTTCATCACGTGCTCCCTGCGCTCTTCCTCCATCTGAGCCAGAGGGCTTCTGCAACAACAAGGGGAGATAAAGTCAGCCAAGTAAAACTCAGTGATACTAAAATACAAGATCACAAGGTACTGAACATGAACACTAAGAGAATTTAAGTAATTTATCCTCCACCTACATCTCTCAGTTTAACATTGACTCACAGGAGCAACAGTAACACGATCGTCTTCCCTTGGCATACCATTGGCATACCATTATCTAAACTGTGGCATATTGCTGACTAACTGGTGCCTACTGGCCTTCAGAGTCTCACCACACTTGCTTTATAAAACTCAATAGTCAAAGGGGCTATACTTTTCACTTTTGAAATCATACTATGATGACTCTTCAAATTCCCTCGTGCCCGTATTATTGATGGTAAATAAACTCCTGCTTAAGACATCCAGTTGGTCTCCAGGCTTTTGCTTCCACCATTTCTTGGACAAGCTGAAAACTTCTACAACAAACACTGTAAAGGAAAAAGTATCAGTACCAGTAGATGTTTTGTTAACATACTTGGTTAGCTGTCCCTTGACCTTGCTGTTGTCCACTCCATTACAAGTAACTGCAGCAAGCTTCTTACTGCGGTAATTTTCATAGTGGACATTGTTGGTGACGTCCTTCAAATTCTGCATATGGGTTCTTGACAAGATAGAAGATGAAAGAGTTAGTTACTTTTTAAAAACATTTTAAAAATTAAGAAAGCACAACATATAGTCTCCATACTTGGAAAGACATTCAAAACTGTTCTGTTAATCTACAAGTGAAGCTTAAATTTGTTTTTTAACAGAAAGGTGACAGTGGTCTCACCTGATCAACATGTTGCGCAGCACAGTGAAGTCACAGTGTTCCCCGTTCTCCACTGAAACACACAAAGCAACACAATAAGGAGAAGGAATCACATAAACAATAACATAATAGTAATGTTTTCATGGGCTTTCAAAGGTGACATTTTTACATTATTGTTATTGTTAAAGGCTCAAGAGACAAAGGAGACAACAAATTGGAATTTTGTCATACAGTATGTGGGTACTGGGTAGTGTTAATATAATGCAAACAATAGTGTTTATTTATATCACAGCGACCATGAGTATATGAGTATACTTAGTTTCTCTTTTTGGTGGTGAGAGTTGGACACAAGGACAGTGTTAGAGGCTCAGAGGGATTCTGGAAAAGGACAGTGGATTGTGTTGACGTTGACGATGTGGGTATGTGGTTCATTTCTCCAGTCGTCTCCAGCCTGCATGTCATTGGCTGCCTCCACTTCACTCTTTAGCACCTTACCATTGATGAAACTTATGTGGTCCCGCCCCTGGGGCTGCCAGGCCAGCCACTGACCTCGTGTCTCTTCTAGAGGAGGGAGCTCTGACGGAGGGGAGGGGTACGGGGTTTGAGTTACTGTCTGTACCCACAAGGGGCGAAATCTGGGTCTGGAGCAGCTGGGTTTAAATTTGGATCCAGATAAAGCCCAGATTTGGCCCAATATAACATGACTAAGGGAGAGTTTTAGAGGATCTCTTCATAACCACCAGGCACTGGTCTGGGGAACAAGCTGAGGAGCTCAGAGGTCAAGCTACATGAAAAAGTGTGCGACTAATCTTTAACTTGTCTAAAAACACCTGATGCACTTTTGTGTTTGTATCCATCATGAGCGCAGCATGCCACCGCCCATCAGGTGTTTAAGGCCTTTTTATGAGCAGAGAGCATGTGCATAGGCATGAAACGTGCTGAATCTTACATCTAAATATCAATAAAACACATGTTTAAAAGTATTTTAACTAATGTAATGTAATGATGTACACAAGGAGGTACATGCCCTTCTGAAAACTATTGCCTGATGAAGCTAGAAGCAGTGCGTTAGGGAGTGGATCCCAGTCTTTGATACCCAGGTCAAAATCCCCCAACAACATCATACAAGCCAGGCCACAGTTTGGTCTTGTGATGCTGTAGAGGGTCACACCGGAGGAGCAAAGATGGGACCCCAGATTAGAGAGGAGGGTCCAAAGCAGCCTGAGCAGCAAACAGCCTCTACTTTAGTCCAGGACGAGTTCAGCATCAGACCTGGGACAAACCACTAGAAGAGACTTTAAGTACAAGCTCTGACTGTTACAGCCTGAGTCCTGTTATTAGACCCTGGACAGTGGGTAATAACACTTTGGCGTCCATCTTAATTGCAGCACACATAACTTCATAAAAGTTGCACTAAGCTCAGGTTTGTTGCCATTAGATCTAATACTTAATACCCAGATTGCAACAAACCAGACCCATAATCACTGATATAACAACAAGAACCAGAACAAGAATTGTTTTCAGAGTTTCAAAAATTACACATTTGGATTGTTTCCCAACTCTTTGCCAAATATTGATCAAGTCTTCCCCAAGTCTGATGTATGTTGGTTTGACCATCAGCTTAATGACGAGACAGCACAGCAAAAGAAAGTGGGAGTGACCAGGGTAAAGGGGGGGACGCTGGGGAAGGATGAGATTCAAATCAAGATGGTTGTGTTTACCAAAAATGCCCTCTGTCAGACATGGAGAGGAACAGACAAAGAAAAAAGGAAAAGAGAGAAAAGAAAATAATAAAAAGTTGACAGACCGATCACTGGTCAAACAAAGAACAACACGTCACTAATACTGCAATATAAATATACTCTATAAAGTAATATCAGAAAGGACATACTGTATATATTTTTATTCACTAATACAAGCCACGTGAGCCTTTTGGTTTTCAAGCTTTTCTCTTATTGTAGACCAACAGTAAGTATTCACAGTAGGCACAATGATCCTTTATTTTCTATCTATAGATACTACAAAAATATATCAAAAATAGGACGACCCTTCTTTTCCAGAATCCCTACTACATCAAAACCAAAAAGTGTGTGTATAGACATTGAGATGGGACAATGTGATTGGAGTTTAAACTAACCTAAACACCACCTTTACAAACCCTCACTTTAGAAACGTATTTTGTGTAGTTGTTGGCATTCAGGTGTAAATCTTCACTGCGATAGCTGATTTAACGCACTCTGCCTGGTACTGTTTAAAATATTCAGTAAACAAAGAAAAAAAATCAATGTTTTGTGTATCTTGTGTACCATTTACCAGTTAACTAGTTAGGGTAAAGAGAAGAACACACACAACTAGACCTGTCAGGATAGAAACTTTTGAAGCACAATATATTGCAATAAACAAAAATATTGAAACTACTGTATGCCACTGACTCAATAACAATAATGCAAGATAATCCTTGCAAACCATTTTTGAATAGACAGTATCATTAGAAGGCCTGAGTCGCAGCAAATAAAAAGAATGAATCAATAATTTGCCATAGCCACTTATGGCTATATAACCTTTTACAGCTAAAATGTTATTGTGCTACAAACAAAAATACACAAAATCTCCTGACTTTCACAAAAAAATTGTACACATGATAAATATTGAGCCCCAAAATATATTCTTACTTACAAATATCTTTCCACAAATTGCTCTGCTCAAACATGCAGCAATCACACACGTCCTGTTTATAGATTTCTAAGATTTTTTCCTGTGAAGGTTGTAAATAAAAGCAATGTCTTTACTCCTACTCACAGTCGTGCTGACAGAACAGTTCATACCTTCAGCCACGCCCCACGGGTACTGGCGACCTCTGACTTTCTTCCCATTCACTTCAATCACCACATTACTGCCGACTACTGCCAATGGCATCTTCTCCTGGGATACAGAATTTTAATGTTAAGAACATATTTAAGTGAAATAAATATGGCTTGGTTGAAGAGTAATCTACACACTAGAGATCAACCCTTATGTTTCTTACACATGTAGTCACATTTTGTGCAGTTATGTCTTCGCACTTAAGTGTTCTAATAAAGTTTCACGCATATTCTTTATGCAGCAGGTCAAAACAACTATTGAAGTGTGCTGGAGATTTAAGACTGATAACCAATATGCTCAAAAAGGGCAAATATCAGCCAAATATATTACCTAACTCTCTACTCTCTGCTCCACACTATCATAAATAATAATACACAACTTATTTTGTTTGTTCATGTGTCAGTACCAGTTCACTGCTTTTGTTCAATACCTTGATTTTACGAATGAGCTTGTTGTCCTCATCGTCTTCTGTGTCTGGAAATTCATAAATCTTGATCTTGTGTTCTTGTATCTCTTTCATTATCTGAAGAAAGAAGATGATACATGTGAAGTTAAATAATTTCAATAGCACACAGAGATGTTCACTCTTCACTCTCCAGCCCACCTGCTTTTTGAACAGTTGGCACTCTTCAGGGGTCAGGGTGTCAGCTTTGGCGATGAGTGGGATGACGTTGACTTTATCGTGGAGCCTCTTCATAAATTCAATATCCAGTGGTTTTAGCCTAATAAGTAAAAATATGTATAAACACTTTGAACACATAATTCATATAATATTCCACCACAATTATGATTCTGAATGTAGAATTACAGTGGCCTATATTTTAAAAATCAGTTCCATAAATCAACAGCAGAGGGCGATGTAATACCGTCTGTTGATGAGTAGCTTACATAGATATTGGTGTGGATATGCCTTGTTGGTGCAGTTAACAAAATAATAAATACATAAATCAAGCAAAAACCTGCAATTGCAAATGTATGAACATAATAGTCTTTGGTCCCCCTATTTCAGGGTTAATTTCACCACAGTAGTAGGCCTAAAGAGAACAGTCCCTGGAATGCACATGTAAACAGGAGCAACAGACCAGCTGCTGAGAAGTTCAGTCAGTCCCACAAAGATTTATGAAGGATGTGATAAAATGCGGTCATAACAAACTATAATATAGGAAGGAGACTTGGTTAAAACTTTTCCAACCGCAGAATATGCTTCAGAATTCACTAGTTAAGTTTAATTACATTTAAATATGTTTATAGAGCAAATAGGTAAATTATCTTTTCATCTCCTGTTGGTAGAAAGAATGGCTGGACAAGAAGCCTGCTTCACTCTCTGCTCTGATTGGCTGGCTCAGTGATGGAGATCCGGAGCCTACAGAGCATGAGCAAAACGGCTTATATAACTTTGTGGGTCACCAAAAAAGGAGCTGGCAGCTTCCTCATCTCTGCCTCAGACAAGTGCAGACTGGGAAAATAAAATTAGATTTAGCCTCTGCCAGTTTAATGAGGAGAGAGCCACAGCAGTGAACCAACAAAAGTCTTTAAAATGTCTGTTGGCCAGAAGATTATGATCTACCTTTTGTTGGGTACATTATTTCTATCAAAACACAAATTGGCTTAGCACTGATACATAAATTGTTATTGTAATATTTCAAAAATATTAAGTCATGTTTTTGTGCACTTAAACCAATTAACTTGGAAGTTTTTCAAAATTAACTATGGGCAAAAAGTTCACTTATCATGTTATTCACCTGTCAATGGTCAGAAGAATACATTAACGTCTTCTAGATTTGGACGATATTTGGACTACTATAATGTCCCTATTGTTGCATGAAACATATTATAGTTGTTATATTGTTATAGGATTTGATTTGCAGACCTACCCGTGTCCGGAAGGTGCGATGAAATATAGGCAGCAGTGGACTCTGTTATCGGGCATTGACCTGCGGTTGACCCTGGATTCTGCATTGAGGAAATCCTCACACTTACTGTCAATATAGTTTATGACTGGCTGCCAGCTGTGGAGCAGAGATAGTGAGTTTAGGCAGAGTTTAGGATAGAAAACAGTAGATTCCACTAAAGCACTCACCAGTTACTGTTGTCCACAGCATCTCCAAAACCTGGAGTGTCCACTATGGTCAGGGTCAGCTGGACACCGCCCTCTTTGATCAGCACTTTGGACTGCTCTACCTAAAGTATAAGTAATACGTGTGAGTGGATGAATATCATAAAAATTGCATTGGCAGAGGTTTTCATTGGCAGAGGTTTTTGTTAGGTGCCAGTTTGCAGCTAATCAACATAATTATATTCTGTAACACTTGCTGAACATTAACACTTCACATCTGAAATATGCCCACACAGTCCAGACTCCATTTTGAGTGACGTGCCATTATGCTGTACTCCTACACACAAACTGTTGCTCCATGTGTGTCACTAATGCAGTGTATGGACTAAAAGTATTTGCAATGTGTAGCATGCATATATGAATACAAATGTGATATAAAATGCATATAATTATAAGAACAACATCACTTCATTATAGCATTAAAGGGCCCATTATACACTATTTTCTTGCAAACTCTGTTCCACTTTGTGATGTAATGTGGTAATGTATGCAGATTTACTAAACAGGGGAGACTCCACTGCATTTTTAAACTCCATACACATTCACTGGAATCATTTGGATGATTTCAGCCCTGAAATTGCCAATTTCTACTGAACTAAAGGTAAAAGGTACTTGAGAAGTACCACTACATGACATCATAAGTATTTTGAGCTTTGTAGATGCAGACAGACAAATAATCCTTGGTCCTCAAACATGTGTGAATGAAACAAAACACAATTCAATGCATTCTAACATGGCTTAAAGTTCATATGAAATAATTTTGTGTACTATAGAACCTTTAAAGAATGCTTAAATTCAGAAGGCGAATTTCATCACAAGAAAAATCAAGTACCCCCCTTATCTGTTTAGTAAATCAGATACTGTGAAGGATTTGGTAAATGCTTGTCTGGGAATAATAAACTGAAAACAGGACTGTAACTGGTCTCATTTTGCACAAGTAGCTAAACAACAATAACCCATATAAGTCCATGTCTTCCCCTTAAAGACTCATGACTCCCTCCAGCCTTCCTGCCGTTCCCTTGCTCCTCTGCATACTTTCACAAGGCCCACGAGTTATTTTAGGATCCCCCTTTAACTCAAATTGCAATTCTCTAACACAAACACCCTGCAGCCACCATGTACCCATCTATCACATATTTCATGGGGTCCAGCATAGTCCAAATTGACTTTGCCCCCAGACTGGCTGTTATTGTTGTAAGTACTTGAGCGTTATATGTCAATCACGTCTAAACCAAATGTTCCATTATGAGACATTTCTCTGAATAAAATATAACTGGAAGAAAACCTCAAAAATGTCGAAAGTCTCAGCACACCATCATTTAAGGGAAATAAGATCCGGGGAATGTCAGAGCGCGACAAAACACACAAGATTGTTCTGGAGTATAAATACTATAGCACAGACCACAAGTCCCATGGCAGACACACGTTCACACACTAACTGCTACTGGTTTGTGAGTGTAACTTGTGCTATGCTGTGACTGTGGGGTTCACATGAGGCGTGATGTTAGCAGCGGAGGCAAGGGCAAAGTGGAGATTAGGGTTTAATATGATTTGTTCCCAAAGAAATAGACAGCATAATGCAAGCAGCCTGATGTAAAGATCAAAATATTTGCAACAATCTTTGATAGGGATGTACCAATATAGATACTAGTATTGATTATCAGCGCCGGTATTGAAACATTAGCTGGATGAGGTATTGTTCCATGATATTGATCAGGCAGATAACCTATTTGGGTCTTTAACTTGATTTTGGCCTAGAATGTCTCATAAGTTTAAACTTTTATTGACAAAAGCTGTTCAATAGATATTTGAAGAATAAATCTCTCTCTTTTTTGCAATAAGTTAAGGAATTAAGTGCTATTTTCCATCCCTATACTGGTACTGGTTAATATAAAGGAACTGACAGACACTTAAGTTAAAGTATTGAAAAAAGTTGGATTGATGCATCTTTAACTATGACCCATCCATTCTACAAACAATCACAGCTTAGTTAATATTAAACTCACCCAACGCCTCATTCACAAATACTGTATTTAGTAAATGTTGCCCGAGTCATCCACCTATATAACAGTGACATAATGGTAGGTAGTATCTGTGGTAAGTCACAGATGTCACTGTTCATGTACCATTCTGGTATGTTTTAGTAATTTTTAAAGAAAACTCACGCACACTGTCTCACTCTTGATTTTTGTTTTCTTGGTATGACATTTTGGTCCCTCAGACCTTCCTCAGGTGGGAGTTTTCTTTAAAAACAGCTAAGTACCTCTTCTCCAGTGCACCTGTCACCCAGTCAGGTGTACAGAGTCTACACAGAAACGGTATGCTTTTTAATCTTTCTAAAAGAAGAGAACTTCACACATGAGTTTGTTAAAAGGGATGTGCTGGATGAAGGCCAAGTGCCGAAAAGTCATTGATGTCCTAATAAAATTCACAATTTGCAAGTAAAACAATGTGCAGGATTCTTATCTGTTCATAATTAAAATCTATCAAAAATGTTATGGGTCAGAAAGTGTTTTGCCCAAGGACACAACAACAGTCTGTACCTTTAGAAGCAGGAAAACACTGTTCAACTGCCTCTCCATCATCCAAATAATTACCCACCCCTTGGATCAGTGACTTGTGTACATTGAGATGTGAAATAACCATGAAACTTTCTCTGTCTGATACAGAGGAGAGTTAATAAGTGAGTTTGGGTGGTGTTGGGTTTCGTGGGAACATTCTTGCCCTCCTGCTGACCCCATGGTCCAGTACACATCACAGGATCTCTCAGTCTGGGCACTGTTCATCGGTTCCATCTCTCCCTCCGTCTGCACATGCCCAGTACCTCCTCCTCCTCTCTTTCACACTCTCCATCATCTTTTACTTGAGCTCTTCTCTAAACATCTCTCTCTCTCTGTCATCATGACCATAAAAGGACAAAACCGCTCTACTGGTGCATCCCGCTCTCCACCACACCACAATCCTATTACTTATAGAGAATCAAAAAGAAAGACATGTACATTCCTTAACAACCTCAAACATCCGTATGCATACTAATACGCATAGTTGATAAGATGTTGAATTATGGGTCACTTAAATCCCATAATCTATCAAATCTATTGAACAGTTCCTCAATCTAAACTCAAAATGTCCTTGGTAATAAAAAAGTTTAGTTAAAAAAAACAAAAAAAAAAACATGAGCAACATTTTGGATGAGGAGACACTAAAACATCTCCATCAAAGTTAGACCAAGACTCTGCACATATTAGTGATTTTTAAAGTGTGTTCTCATCTATCTAAATTACAAAAGGTCATACAGTGTTAGTGTAGTGGGGTGGAAAGGTCAAAGTTCAAAAGAAGAGGGCATCTGAAGGGTCTTTGATTGTTCTTGTAATGGACACACTTAACATTCTGTAACATCTCTTAGAAGCAACATCTGACATAATGAGATGAATTACTGATGTACTAGATGATAAACAGTTAAGCACGGCTTTACAACATGAATGCAGCTGAACCTTAATCATATGCATTGTAACATTTAAAGCATTCACCATTACGTCTGTCCATAGTTTATATTTTGTATTCTTGTCCATTTAAACTGCCCATATTACGCTATTTTCTGATCTATGTCATAATGTTGTTTCCTCATCAATAAACATACCTGGAGTCGTGTTTTGTTTCATTCACACATGTTTAACACACAAACCTTGCATATTTAGTTCTTCGCTTAAGACATTTTGTTCCACCTTGCATTGTAGTAATACAGGAAGTGCTCCACTGTGTTTTTAACTCCATACACCTTCACTAGAATCAACAAAAAAAGGTGACAAGAAGCTGTTGGATTTAAAAACTACAGCTTCAGAACATCACAAGCTGGAGCAGAGCATTTTGAGCTTTGGAGATGTAGAGAGATTAATAATGCAGGGTTACTCAAACATGTATGAATGAAACAAAACACAACTCCAGGTAGGATTTGGATGAGGTGACAGCATTCTCACACAGCTAGAGGCAATTCTGAGCAATATAGGACCTTCAAGTCAAGACTTTTGTTTATTACTACTTTTTGTTACATGTTTGCGCTAATGACCAGGAACCTAGAGTTGACTGATAATGGCAATACAGTCTGATCTGATGACAATACAGGACAGAGACAAATGTGATCATATCATAACAGGAGGTATCATGCTTCTTGGAAAGTATGAAACCTTGTGGGACAGCTGATGTTAAACAGATAATGCGGGTACCAGACCATTTTCCAGAGTGAGGTGATTTGTATGGAGGGAAATACTGAATACTATTCAGTACAAGACATCATAATAAATTATGTTTTAGCAGGCACGAAGCCAAGATGGGGATACAGAGTGGATTTATGGATGTAACAACAGAATGAAATGTCTGTGTCAATGTGATGGACAAAGGTGAATAGTATGGAGGTAGACAATATGCAGAGATGGGATGCACCAATCCAATACTGGTATTGAATATCTGCGGTGATACTGAAAAATTTGCTGAACCAGATATCAGCTTCCAAATACTGATTCAGCCAATATCCTGCTTGAGCCTATAAATCACATGTGTCAAACATAAGGCCCGGGGGCCAGATCCGGCCCTCCAAGACCTTTAATGTGGCCCTTGGCTGATTTTCTACTAAAATATTTTTATTATATTTTCTATTAAAATATGGTAATTTTCTGCGGTGCTGAGCATAGCAGTGTCTCCAGCGTTTCTGTACGTGGCCCCTCCCACCAGAGCAGCACAAATGAAGACTTGTCTCTTTCCAAACGCTCTTAAAGGACAATTGTTTTGACTGTTGACCGTGACACCCTCATCAGAAAAATGTCCAACATGAGAAAAGTGGAGCCGAGTGCAGGATTTTCCCAGAAAAATTGACTTATTCCTGTTTGCAGACAAGTTATTGTTAAAACATTGTGTTGAAATTGTATTTTTCTTTAAGTTTCAGGTTGTTCATAATATTATAATATTATAATAAGAAAGAGTTCATCAGTTAAAAAAGATTTCTGTGATTTGCATTTCTCTGCACAAATATTTGAACTTATTTTTGGGGTTTATATGACATGAGTTTTCTGATCCGGCCCCTTTAGGATCAAAGTAGGTTGGATACGGCCCCTGGACCAAAATGAGTTTGACACCCCTGCTATAAATTGATGTAAGTTGTATTGTTGTAAGACTATTTCTGGTAGTTGGCCCAAAAAGTCTCAAAATGATTTTTTATTTACACAAAGTTGTTCTGTAGTTACCTGAGGGTGAGAGATAAACAAACTACATAAATAGTACCTAAGAATACGACCTAAATAGCTGCATAACACATTTTGAACCGTTTTTCTTATTTTTGTTTAAAGGACATAATAGCTATTTTCAGTCTCTGTGCTGGTATCTGTTGATATCAGGTATTAGTAGATAATCAAAGCAATAGTATGGAAATCTGTATCTGCATTGGAAATGGTGAAAACAGCAGTATAACCCACCTGTACAGTCTTCTTGATGCGCTGTGACGGTCCGGGGTAGTCCTTGGAGTAGAGATCCGTCAGGAACAAGGAGTTGATGAGCGTGGACTTCCCCAAACCAGATTCACCTGAGGACAAAAAACCCACAACAGCCAATTATGTCATGTTTACTTTGGAGCAGTTTCACAAACAGCTGACCACACGCCGGGCCCCTCCTCTACAGCTGGCACACTTACATTCAAATCCTCACAAAGACTCCTCTATGCATTTGTACACACAGCCCCCAGCACACAAGACAAACTGCATTCATTGTGAGTGAGTTAAGAGGTCACTGGTTTCATTGGTTAGAATATAAAACATGTCTGCTGAGCCCCACTGTTCTCTTTTCATGAGCTCGCCCCTCTACCCCTCTTCCACTGCACTTATAAATCTTCCGGTTTCTTTATTCCCCAAGCCAACTTTCCATTCTCTTCATCTGCTGCTGTTTGGGGCAGACAAATACACACAGTTGATGTTGACTTGACAAATGCGCCCGGCCTCTTTAAACAAACATACGCAAGGCTACAGTGATTAATTGTTAAGCATCTGGTGGAGAACGCAGAGGTGGCTAGAGGGCAGTCTAACCTGATAGGACCCCTCATCACTCAATAAAGTTAAGGGTGGCCTGAGAATGCATTGGAAATATTGTGTAAAAATATAAACTATGCAATCTGTATTACAACCTTTTTCAGATTAGTTGAATATATACAGTATGTATATAAACTGTGTAATTTGCTTTAAGTTCCTACTAGTACATTACACAAAATTGACACTTGTGAGCTTAAAGCCATGTTAGAATGTTACTTCATCAAAGACATACTCTGAGTTCTGTTTTGTTTCATTCACACATGTTTGAGTAATCCTGAATAATTAGTCTGTCTACATTTCCAAAGCTCAAAATGCTCAGTTCAACCTTGTGAAGTCACATACTGGTATTTTTCAAGTTAACAGCTGCCTTTTACCTTTTGTTTAGTAGAGATTGGCAATTCCAGGGCTGAAATCAACCAAATGATTCTAGTAAAGGTGTACGGAGTTAAAAGTTTAAAAGTCAAAAGTTTAAAGACACTGTATTATCACATGACACACAAGGTGGAACAGAGTGTTTTCAGTTTGAGAGAAGAACTCAGCCTAAATATACAGGATTTGTGTGTTAAACGTGTGAATGAAACAAAACACAACTCCAGGTATGTTTTTTTTTATGAGGAAACAACATTATAACGTAGATCAGAAAATAGCGTAATGAGCCCTTTAAGATAGTAATTATGGCCAAGAAATGTTGTAAGATGATTTGATGACCTTACCTATTTGTATTGCTCATAAATGAAGTTAAGTTATCATGTTGATTTTACAAAAAAAAAAAAAAAAAAACATTATTCACAATCTTTTTTGGTTCGGTAAATTGTCCAAACAGAAAGCTGAATGAGCTGCTCGCTTTCGATTGCCAGATAGAACAGCTAAACCCAACTTATTTGTTTTTTTTCATGTTTGATGTAATAAATAAATAGACTTAAAGATAGAATAGCTTTAAATAGTCACCAGACTTCGCTTTCATCTGTTAACATAGTGCATGGTATTTGTTTAGAAGCCCATATGTGACACATCAGTCCCTGTTAACCTTTTGGTGATGCCCATCTTGACCTTTAACCCGAGACCCCCCATGTGAGTTTATAGAGAGAGAGCAGGTATATTCGTGAGTGTGACATATGGCCCCAGCCTGCCGAACGCCTGCCTACTGTTCTGATAGACTTTTTATAGGGTTAACAACACCAGGCGGGTGTACAATTACAGAGAAGGTTTTAGCCACCTCCTGCTACAGTTTGCCCAGTCCACAAAACCCAAAGGCTGTTTAAACAGACAGCAGTATACATAGGCCTGTCACGATAATTACTAAACTGACTTATCATTCAATATATGAAAACTGCATCAGTGGGTAATTTGTGGTTATTTCTTGCCTATATCATAAAATTTGAGCCAATGAATAACTTCTATGACTCATTACAGATGCAAACTAAGTACTAGTGTTTCATTCTGCTGTTAATTTATTGCAGCTCATATTTTTTGAAGCGACATTTAAAATTTAGAATAGTGTTTGTGGTTTAAATCTGCTCTTGGATTTTTGTGTCAGGGATAATTTAGTTTCAATAATAGTGTTTATCATCTATATATTTATTTCAACAATATATCTTACTTCAAAATGTGTAATTGTGACAGGCGTAAGTATACAAAGTCATGCCAACTCTCAATGAAGTGGCATTGCTGGAACTAGATTCATTGATGTTGGTTGAATGTTGTGTGTTTTGGCTCCTGCATGTGTTAAAATACCTTGACCAGTTCAGTTGCCAGCTCAATAGACTGTTCATCATTGATTAACCACGCCAACACAACAACAACACATTATTGTCAATGAACAAATATCGAATCATCTATAGTTATATAATCCAGCAGTTAAGACGAAAGAGCCCGTATTACGGTATTATTTTCTGATATGTATAATTTTGTTTCATCATCCAAAACATACCTGGAGCTGTATTTAGTTTTTTTCATACATGTTTAACACACTTAACTCTGCCTACTCAAACAGAATACACTCTGTTCCACCTTCTGATGTCAAGAAGTGGAAGTTTTCAAGTTGACAGCTACCTTTTACCTATTATTCATTAAAGATGGGCAATTCCAAAGGTGAAATCTAATTGATTCTAGTGAATGTGTATGTTGTTTAAAAACACAACCCCGTGTCTGTTTTTGATGAGGAAACAGCAATACAACAGAAAAAACCTCAGGAAACAGAGTAACAAAAAAATATAATAAAAAAATATAATTAAAATCACCATTTAGATTTGTATATTTCAGGTATGGTCCCTTCATTCCTCAACACATCATACATTCTTCACATAGTGTTTAAAAACTTGTTTTCAGCAACACTTGTTTGGAACGATGAACATCTAAAAACAATCTTTTCTCATCTTGAGAGACAATGACACGTACCCCAAGCCTCACTCCACAGCTGGAGGGCAGAATGTCACTAAGGACCCCAGGTACGGTCAATACACTTTAAACTGAGGGGCTTTTTCTACTAGGAGATGTGAGACAACAAGTAACTTTACCATGTTGGTCGAACAAATAGAGTGATGTGAACAGCAAACAGGACCACTGACTCTTCAACCTCACACCAGCCATGTGACCATCACTCATTGGCTGGAAATGTCAATACTAATACACTTCATCAACATTACTATATGACTTCCATTTCAGAAAGTGATAATGTGGTGCATTGAATTTCAAACAAAAGTGGCATTTGCTGCACATTTAATGGCAAAATCTCTCAGTTTTGATTGATGTTTAGGGAGTTACAGCAGCAGTCTGAACCCCTCGAGGCTGGGTCCATCTCCATTAGCCCCCCTGGATGAGTTTTAATTAAATATTGACTCCACATGACAAGTGTGAGCTCAGAGCCAACTCTATACACACTAATGACATAATGCTGTGTGATGGACGGATGGCCCTTTAGCTCTGATGCTCATCCTCCATAGTGTACATATGTGCTAAGCTGCTGCAAATCAGAATGTATCCCTGACCTCACTACATTTTTTATTTTCACCAGTTAACTATTTATGCAACCCAAGCTATTTATAAACTCATACAGGCCCCAACAGATAATCAACCATTCAAACAAGATGTAGAAACAGGGCAATTTAAGATCAAATGTCTGTCAAGCTTATTTTAACAATTCTAAAAATTGTATCGGATACTTTACTTATATCTGTAGAATGATGTGACCCCTGCATTTGACCCATCCTTCAATGGTGCATGGAGCAACCTGTCAGAAGCAGTGGGCAGTGGCAGAACAGTGATCAGAAATCCACCTCCAGACTTGAGCTAGATTTGGCCAGGATTATTTTGGCTGGAAGTTCTGCGTATTGGTTGAAGATCAGAACATCTGGACAAAACTATAGGGAACTTCATTTTGAAAAGCCTATGCACAGACACAAACTGATCAAATGTGTATGTTTACAGAGCTGCTTTAGATTGCAGGGAATGAAAAGCACAAGAGTGGACACAGAGGGTTTCCCATGAGATTCCTGACATTCCTCACCCCTATGGTTTGTCCTGCCCTGAGGCCGCAGCTGCCCTCTCACATCCTCCTGACGGGACGGGCACACTATCCCAACAAATACACACAATCTGCACACATATACATACACACACACGCGCATACATACACACACAGAGACACACACATGCAAGGCCCAACGAAAGCTCAACCACAACGTGTGAAGTGAAACATCTGGCTAACCACAGCGCTGACGAGCAGACAGACAAATGATGTGGCAGTGTGTTTGTGAAGTGTGAGTTAGGCTATTGTTGAGCCAGACTGGGGCCAGAGGTCAAAAGTCATTGTTTTAGGAAAGATAAAGATCTGCACAGACAGCACGGCTCATGAGTCAGTCCAGATCTCCTCATGTGTGGTCAAACTACACATGGTCAGCTTCAAAACGCTATAAGCATGTTTAATACTGATAAGAAAAGTTAGACATTAAAGGTGCATTTCTGGTGGAGGGTCTGTCACCTGCTTGTCTCAGTGGAGATGTTATTGCTTAGGCTGGAATGTTCCATCGTATGGTATTAAACAACCAGTATCTATCTATTGCTAAAAAATACAATAATTCTCTTTTTGAACAGGGGTGCCTCTCCACAAATCTGACCTGTAATATAGCCTATAGTTGTCTTCCTTGAAATAGAGGTTTAATCTCTACTGTGGAACATTCTAGACAAAAGCAATAACATCTCCATGAAGACAAGCAGATGACAGACTCTCCACCAGAAAAGTTGCGCAATGCACCTTTAAGACTGCCACTGTTTATCAAAAAAATTAAATAATGATCAAATATTTAAACTATAAAAGTCAGACAAGGGCCAGGAAATAATTGATGTTGGAAAGAATTGGGATCTGGGATGTTTTAAGTAACTGTGTAACATATAAAGACTCCAGTTACAACCAACTCAAGAAGACACAAATAATAATTTTTGGGGTGAACATTTAATCCCAATCAAATATATAATCATTGCGTTATAGAGTGCAAAAACATCT